GGGCGGCTTCCAATCCCCCCTCCCGCGCGTCGAGGTTGAAGAGGTCAAGGAGGAGACGCACGGCCTCGCTGAGGCTGCGGGATGCCGGCGCGTTCGCCCACGCCGCGCCCGCTCCAACCGCCCGCTCCGCCGTCCTCCCGGACGCCCCCTCCCCTTCTCCGTCGCCTTCTTCGCCTTCGCCTTCGCCCGCGCCCTCCTCGCCGTCTTCGAGTTCGTCCTCCCACTCGGCCTCGCCTTCGGAGGGCTCGTCGGGGCGATCCTCCTCCCAGCCCTTTTGGGATTCCGCCCCTATGGGAGGGGGGGAGGTCGGCTCCACGAAGAGAACATTCGCGACCCCGGCCGCCTCGCTTTCCGTTTCCCGGTCGTTTGGTTCGTCGGCGTCGTCGAAGGGGGCATCCTCGCGGGCGGGCGCCCCCGCATTACACGCCATCCCCGTGATCATCTGGAAAACAACGTGATCGATCCGGTAGGGCGCCGCGGAGGGGTTCGTGGCGCCCGCGCGAGACCGACGCAACCCCCCCCGCCCCCCCCTCGAATGCTCATCGGGATGTAAAACGACCCCCACGTCTCGCGTGGAAACGGCGAGGCGCCTTGCAGGGCATTCCAAAGCTCCCCACCAGAGGGGCTCGTGACCATGGCCCCCATTACCACCTCACGCCCAGCCCCCTCCCCACCGGCTCGCGGTTCGTCGGCCAGAACCCGCGTGACCACCTGAGATGCCGGGGCCGGCGAGGCGAAAAATCGATTACTCACCGAAAAGCGAGGTGCATTCACTTGAAGGCCACCGCTACGACCGTGAGGCCCTAATCCCCCGGATTCTCGGCCTCTGCCGTCGTCGTCGTCGTCACTTTGGAGATCAAAAGGTTCTTCCGACGGAAGGTCGTAACCGTCGTAAGAGGTTTCTTCCCACGGCTCGCGGTTGAAAAAGCTGATCGTGGCTACCTCCTCCTGACCGCTGCCATCCGGTTGAAAGGTATCGTCGTCTCCCACGACCTGATTCACGTCATCCTCATCATCCATATCATCCTCTTCGTCCATATCATCTTCATCATCCTCGTCATCTTCGTCATCCGCATTCCCGTCATTCACGTCGTGGCCGACTTCAAAATCGTTCATGCCCTCCACGCCGGGCAGCGCATCCGCGTGGAGGTCACTCCCGACCCCGGAGACCTGCCACATCCCCCCCCCGCCGCCTCCTCCACCTGCGTTGGTCGGCTGGGGGATTACCGGTTCAGAGGTCTCCTCCGGGGGAGGGAGAGGTTGCTCCCCCTCCACTCTACTGAAGACGTTCTCCCACATCTCATCCCACTCCTCTTCGTTGCCTGCGCTATCTCCTCCCTCCTCCTCCTCCTCCACCTCTTCCTCCTCCTCACCGCCCATCCCGATGATGGTGCCGACGACGTTGCCGTTTTCATCCGTAAAACGAAACAGATTGGCCTCCTGTTCGAGGCTGGCATCTCGATCGCTGAAGAGCTCGGAAACCAAAAAACTCGGCCCCATATCCTCCTCCGCACTCACCCGCTGCCGCGACGGCGTCGGAGGGGGATTCATCGCCGTAAAGGGCAGCGTCGTCGTGGGAGCGAAGCGATCTCCCGCGGTATCGGCAGGAGCTCCCCCCTCCCCTTCCCTTCCTTCTCCCCACCGTTCTTCCGCTTGTTCTTTTTCTTTTTGTTCGTCGGCCTCCTTGCCGTCGGCTTGCGCTGTGGCCTCGGCGACCGTGCGAACCACCCTCTGCATAGAAGGTGCAGGAGGCTGAGGTGGGGAGGTATTCAACTGCACTCCTCGTCGGGAGGTCGCCTCCACGAGGTGCTGCAGCAGCACGAGGATCACGACGCCATCCTGTTCATTCTCGTAGCACCGCAGGTGAAGAACCTCGTAGAGGACCTCGAAAAGACCGCGGCGGACGAGCTCTTCGGTGAACTTCGTCGGCGCCGTGGCGGGGTTGTCGACGCACCTCACCACCTCCCGAATGAGATGGAGAAGCAGGCAAACAAAGCGGCGAAGAAGCCGCTCCCGGCGCGCGGGTGATGGGGAGGAGCCCCCCTTCGCGGCGGTGGCTTTCGCCGCTTTTTCCCCCTCGCGCGCGGTTGCCGTGGCGCCGAAGCGGATCGCCGTCAGCGCCTTCGTCAGGAGGGCGATGAGTTCATGCACGAAGCGGGCGGGGTGCCGCGTCGCCAGCTTCGCCAAAACCCCCAACGGCAACCCCCCTTCCCCGCGGTGGGACGATGCGCGGTTTAAATGGAGGGCGATGGAGACGTACGGGGGGATCGAAATCGCGCCCTGGCTGACCCCTCCCGCCCTTCCCTTCCGCCTTCCATCCTCGATGGGCTCCGGGAGGCCGGATCGATTCGACCCCGCCCCTTCGC